ATGCTTGTAAAAAAAATTTTTTTTTAAAAATGTGACCCTTTGATTTTCTCCTATTTATTAGTTCTCAAATGTAGTATCGTTGATCTCATTCTGGATGAAGTTAATGATAAACTAAATAAAGATTAAAGAAGACAGATGGAAAAAAAGAGTAAAAAGTAAATAAATTGAGGGTGGAAGGGGAAAATTGATAAAAAAAGATATTAATTATATTTCGATATATTTTTTAATAGGATCTCTGGGATCGCGAAATTGGATGATGCAAACAAGTCTGGTGGTAGAAATGCGTACTTTAGTCCTTACAGAAAGAGACACTGCAAAAACTTTGGCAGTTGCCGGGCTTTCCGAAGTTGGAAATGATAATTATGGAATTTTCCCACTATGGAACATTGGAACGTTGATGGAATATCATCTAATATTTCAGTGTATCAATAGATTAACCAAGAAAATATTTTTTTAACTTTAAACTAAATATGTCGAAAGTCTTCCCCAAATATATTACGGTTTCTTGGAAGTTTTTAATACAAACCAAAGCTTTATAGCAATGGAATGGTAATTTATCATTTACCATTATTTATATATTACTTCTTGATATTTTATATTAATAATTGTTTATTTTATGTTGGATCAAAGATGAAATATTATAATATTTGAACAGAAGTGAATACAGCTTTACTAAAGAGGAATTGGTCTCCCTTGCAAAAATTAGAGTATCACACTAATGGTATTTAACCATTTATAATATTTAATTAAAAGTTTATAATCATTGTTATATGAAAACTAATATCTTTATTTCATAGATTTCATGAAAAGGGACATATAATTCGGATTTAAGCCTTCAACGTCTAATAGATCTATCAGTATTCCCTTTAATGTAAAACTATGTGACTGTGACTTTGAGATTTGTAGGAAGCCGCACAAATTAAGCCAGGAAAACTGTGTGGTATGTAACATTCATTTGAATATTAATTAAATTTCTCAAAAAAAATTTAATTTAATTTAATTTAAATAATATAGTTTACCCGGAGATATTAACTAATAATGGGGGGCTTTGGCTCGGTTTTCAAGTTCGAAACCAACAATCTGATGAAATTCGTATTTTGAAGTTTTCTTGGTTACTCATGAATATGAGATGTTTGAATAAATCAAAAAAATTGTATTTTTATTTCTCATTTAATTTCTTGTTTATTATTATTGAAATTCCAATTAATAATAAATTTTTACATTCTAGCCAAATGTATTACAATTTTTTGGTGGTTTTTATTACAAAAATACCAACCAAAGCTTTATAGTAATGGAATGGTAATTTATCATTTATTATTAAATATATATTACCTCTTGTTTTTATAAATTAATAATTGCTTGTCTTATAGTGTCAAAGCTGGAACTTTACAAGATTTTGATCCGGAGTGAATACAGATTTACTAAAGAGGATTTGGTCGCTTTTGCAAAAAATTTGAGTATCACTCTAAAGGTATTAATTTTTAATTTTTAATTAAAATCTTATAATCATTGTTAAATTAAAACTAATGTCATTTTCTCATAGGGATTTCATGAAAAGGGAATTTTATATCGTGATTTAAAGCCTTCTAATGTCCTAGTCGATATATCAGTATCTCCCTTTAATGTAATATTATGTGACTTTGGGCTTTGCAAGGAGGCCGCACAAATTGAACCAGGAAAATTTGGTGGAACGAAAGCTTATTGTATGTAACTTTTATTTGAATATTAATTAAATTTCTCAAAAAAAATTTAATTTAATTTGACGACATTTAGCCTACGAACTAGTTAGATTATTTAGTTACTGCGCCTTAAGGCTGTCGACCAATTTGAAAATTGTTGCGATATATTATCGAAACTGTTGCAACTTTAATTAATTATAAATAATATTGAATATTTCTATGTAAAACTTATACCAGAATTATATAATAATGCTATAGCGAATATTATACAGCCTTGAAGAAAAACATGTTTCTTATATACAAATTGTTTCTAAATTTATGTCTACCATCGATGCATTCATTTTCGACACAACAATGAACAACATGCACGGAATTGTTCGTATCAAGGACGGTGTCAACGCTACGATTGGCGCAGAAATTGCGGTGCAGACATATCAAATATGTTTTACATATATTATTTATTTTATTTATCTGTTTTATTTGTTATATTTGTTTTATTTATTATTTCTATTATATTAGTTTTATTTGTCTGCTAATAAATTGAAACAACGATTTTGTATAAATAGATCGGGAATTCGATTTAGAGAAAACAGAGAAAAGAACAAGTCGTAAAAGTTTCTCTCAAAAGATTTAATTAAAATATTCTAGTTTGTGATAAAAAGTCTAAATAAAAGGCTTATAGAATTCAATAAAGTTGTTTATTTACCCTTTCAATCTTCTTCGTGTCTTCATAAAGGTTTTTATGTGATAACTAACTACTACACTAGCTAATCGTAATAATTAAAATCGGACGAACTAAATAAAAAGTAAATAGTGATTGTTAACTTGAGAAAGTAAGGAAATACGGTTTGTTTGTGTATCTTGAAGCTTGTAAATCGGGCATTCTAATCTCTTCTGATTGGTAATTTCGAACCTATCAATAAAAATAAAAGCAAAACGTTGTTTGTTCCTTTAATCGTGAAACTTTTATCATAATTAGAAATTATGTCACCAACATGCAGGCGATACTGTGCATTGACTTCATTGTCATCTATCAAAAAAGAAGCAAGTTCAAAAAAAAAGTAAATTCATAACCCATATTCTGATACACTGAAGCCAGTTCTCTATAAAACTTGGAATTATCTGGCAAAATTTCTTCCTTCTTGGTATACGTTTCTTTAGGTATAGATTTGAAATACATTCGACCAATGTAATTATTAAAAATAATACATATAATCATTAATAAGATTTCATACAGGTATTCAAATCAAACCTTCACTTGTATCTTCTTCGGGATCGAAAGATTTTTTGACAATAAACCAGTAATTCATCATTCGTTTAAGTGCATTAAAGCATTGCTTGTAAAAGAAAACGTTTGTCAACACCTCCGTCGATTAGGTGACGAATTGCAAACAATGTTGAATATCGTTTTAGCAAGTCGAGGTCTACGTTTTTCCGATTCGTTCTTGTTACGATGTTTTTAAATATGCGATTTACCATTTCTTTTGTTTCCACACCTGTATTTAATAAAGTCGCATAGTTTCTTGCATGCTGTAATTAACATGCAAATTCGGAAGAATTTCAAAATCTAATGCCTATATTATTGTTAATATACCTCATTTTCTTTCATTACCTAAACATTCACGTAACTTAATATAATCCTCCTCCGTGAAGGAATGCTTGAATGGCTTTGCTGTTGTTTTACCCAACATTTCATTAAATTTAGTAAAGTAAAAATAAAGTACTATAATTACAATAAGAAAAAAATAATAGTTAAAGAAAAAGAATAAAATAGCAAAAGAAAATTATAAATTTTTAAAATTTTCATGATATGTGTAATTTGTTACGACATACTGCTTTAATTATATACTAAAAGGGATTTAAATAATAATTAAATTTTAATTTGAAGAAAATATTTTCGTTGATTTTTTAATTTTTAAGTAGCAGTGATTTTTGATACCCACTGTAGATTAATAACCCAGACGCCTAAGTATTCTATTTTAACATTAGCATTCTTTATTTAGGCAAAGCTTTTGAATATTCTTCGATTATTCTGGAAGAACAGGAATCCTTTGGCGAAGTACATTATTTTTTTTTCACACCAATATAATGGTGTTCTATGCTAAAATATGTACAATGGGTTAGTAATCCCCAATCCACCCTCTGGCCAATGACCATCATATTTTCGGGATTTTGGCGCATTTGAAGTAATTAATGTTTAGTGCAATGTATAGAATATTTGGATTTCTCAAATCAATGATCAAGTGAATAAAGCTAGGTTTTATCACATTATCAAAGATATTCCCATATTTATTCCGTTATTGCTGATTATATATCAGCAATTCTCATGTAATGAATCATGGAAAAAATACAGATTGCCTGTTTATTAAGTTTCCGCGCCTATAAAATCTACTGAACATTCATGGACTCCAAAAATTTAATAATTGAAATGTAATAAAACATGGAAAAATCAGGATTGCCTGTTTATTTAGTTAATTTTCGCACCTATAAAATACATTGAACATTCAGGATTCAAAAACATAATTACGGAGATATTATGAAAGCATCCTTTTTTTTAGGGCTCGTTGCATGTACGATTAACTTTTAAAAAAATTCAAAGCGCCGAAATTCCAAAAGAAATTATTATCGACTCAGGAAGACTTGCTCTATATGATAATAATTCAATATTACAATCTGAAACGTGTATCTTGTACAGAATGTATGAGAGAAATGTACAAATTTCGTAATGAACCTTTTGTTTTAAGAAGTGAACGCAACCAACTCGAACAATTCATGCAAAGCAGTTCGATGGCAATTCTGTCAAAATTGTTGAATGCTCATGGAATTCAATTTGTCCACGTTTCAAATCTTCCAATTCCATAATAATTCTGCATTATTTGATTTATTCTACAGGTTCGGTAGAATTAAAACATTAAATAAACAATTTTCTTTCCTCAGGTGATTTTTTTATCATATCACCAATAATGTTATAATCTATATTATTTAAATTGTATTTTATTGTTAATAATAAATATAAAGTGCAATGTAATAATAATATAAAATAAATAGAACATACCTTCATTATTTATTTTTGTTACCCAATTATGTTTTCTTTCAAAATACATATCAATAGTATTTTCGATAATTTTTTTTCATTGGAATTAGATCCAAGAAAAGATTTGACATATCCATGAAATTTTCTATTGAGAATGCATACTAATAATAACGTTCCTAGGGAGAAATAATCATGGAGTTTACTTTGTTTGCCATTGCTAGTTATAACTCCGGGGAAACTATATTATTTAAAATGAAATTAAATTTAATTTTGTGAGAATTTAATTAACATTCAAATAAACGTTACATACAATAAGCTTTTGTTCCATACAAGGCCTAAAGTCACATGGTTTTACATTAAAGGGAGATACTGAAAGATCTACTAGGATATTAGAAGACTTTATTTAAATCACGATATATTCATGAAATCCTATGAGAAAAAGACATTAGTTTTAATAACAATGATTATAAACTTTAAATTAAAAATTATAAATGGTTAATACCTTTAGTGTAATACTCAAATTTTTGCAAGGGCGACCAAATCCTCTTTAGTAAAACTGTATTCACTCCGGATCAAATCTTGTAAAGTTCCATCTTTGGTCCTATAAGACAAGCAATTATTAATTTATATAACGAGAGGTAATATATAATCATAGGTAAATGATAAATTACCATTTCATTGCTTAAAGCTTTGGTTGGTATTATTTCATATTTAGTTTAAAGTTAAAAAAAAATTTTTTTTTTTTGGTTAATCTATGATCGGGATTGTTACACTGAAATACTGGATCAAATTGATGTTCCGTCAACATCCAATGTTCCAGTGATCTGGAGTGAGAAAATTCCATAATTATCTATCCAACTTCGGAAAGCCCAGCAACCGCAAAGTTTTTGCAGTCGCGACTAAAGTACAGTACAGTCCTTAGCATTTCTACCACCAGACTTGTTTGCATCTTCCAATTCCGCAATTATTAAAAAAATATATCGGAATCTAATTAATATATTTTTTTTTTTTATCAATTTTCCCTCTCCCACCGACAATTTATTTACTTTTTACTCTTTTTTTCCGTCTTTAATTCTTTATTTAGTTTATCATTAACTTCATTCAGAATGAGATCAATAATACACATTAGAGTACTAATAAATAGAGAAAAATCAAAGGGTCACACATAAAAATATTTTTTACAAAAAGTAATATGATATTCTATTAATAGTACAATCACTTACGTTTATTAAAAAAAGTGTCACTTGGATCACATGTAGATCCAAATGATGTGGCTTTTTATGTGAGATATTCTTTCGTCTGGGAATCGAAGGATGGGTTTTCAATCACATAGTTGATGAGTATCCACATATGTTTTTGATTTGATTCTTTTTTATGTTTGCGTCCTTCTTGATTTTGGCCGATATCAAGAATTTTTCAGCAAGTTGATCTGCGATGTAGTTAACGTAGGTACCTCCTTTTGTAATACATATTTTGGTAATGAATCTTGTCTATTATTATTGAATGAAAAGTACATGAATAATGTTAACCATTTCATGCAAGATCAAATATTAAAAAAGAAGAAAAGAACTTACATGATGGAATTGAGAATCAGTGGAGAAAAAGGCTCCGATTATCCATCTTCACCGCATTAATCATATATTAATGAAGATTTTAAGTCTTCGCGTACAATTGCATGTATTTTTAAAATTATTGATGTTTAACGTTCATTATTCAAGAACAATTTAACTTCCCGCCAAGTCGTATACACGCTTTTTAAGAGGGTAATTATGTCATTATCAAACAATTTGAACTTTTGAAATCCGGCTTAAATTAACCAGCCTTTAGAATGAGCGGTGATAATTGATTGTTCGATTTCTTTCGTGTTATTCCTGAAAGTATAGGATATTCCTTGAGATTTAAGATGTTTTCAAAATAAACACCATACTGAATATGTACGCTAATTTAGCTCCAAAACCAATTACGACAACCCGGGCAATGCCCTCCAGGAAAATGTTTAATTTAAAATATATTCTAAAATTTAATTAGAATAATCGCATGATAGTTAGGAGCTGGATTTAGATGAGTTGGGGATTAGAAGAGTGGAGTAGGTATATCAATTGTTGTGATGGTAGTGATGGTATTACTGATGATGATGGTTGTAGTGATAATACTGATGGTGGTGGTCCGGTAGTTCCGATGATATTCTGATCTTCCGGAATCCAGTTCCGGTGAAATTTTTACTGGAAACCGGAATTTCACATCACTGGTATTTCTGTCTTGTATTGCGGAAACTTTACCGCTTGCAGTAATAATTATTTTTCATCTTTGTCATAAGACAAAATATAATTATTAGAAAGGAAATTTCAATAATAGTAAAAATTCGAACTTTATATTTATTTACCTTTAGACTTCCTCCCAAAGAAGAAATTTAATTAATTAAGAATATCCATTAATTAGGCCATACTGAATTGCATTAATATAAGGGCTTTGCATTCAAAAATATAAACATATATAGAAGCCATAGTCTTTTGAACAATATCGTAAAATACTACTCACATTTCGCGGGAAATTAATGGAGCATAATTTAAGAAAGCAACCTTCAGTAATTATGGTGTAATCACCGGTATTAATTAGCTATTTTTTATCTCCTTTTGGATTGATGTAAATTACGTCTCCACCTATTAATTATGTTAAATATTAGATTGTTCCTCATTTATTTGATTAGAATTACATTAAATATAAAAAACTTAACCATATTTTAGTAAAATCTATTCCGTGTTTGTTCTAAAATAAAACAAATACAAAGGAATATAAAAACCCATTGTTACTTAGTGATATAAATGCGAATTCAAGTTTTTAAGCAACCTCACCTTAGATAACATAAGATGCAGTTCTTGGATATGCCATTCTTTCTTTAGGAGATGCTTTGAAAAATCTGGGAGTTTTCGGTATGTAAATAAAACCTCGTTAATACGCAAGATTGACCGGAGCTTCGCAGAAGCAAGTGCAAAAACTTGCAGATTTTCTTTAAGATAATATTTGAAGGTACAAGAAGGTTATGGAAAAATACTCTTTAAAGAAGGTTTGAATCTGTTAGTTTTCAGAAAGTAAACATAATCTCGTTAATACGCGAAATTGCCCTTTTACGCTAAAGCTTCGCATGGACTAGTATAAACTCAATAAACTTACCTCATATGCAGAAGTCCTCGTTAGAACATAGTTTGATGTTGTGGATGTAAAGAAGACCTCGTTCTCGAACTTTTCATGTCAAATTATCGCCTAAGCCCATATAATACTCAATAACACTAGCTTTGTTTGTATTTCAAAAAATACTGGAACCAAGATAATAAAAAAATTTAGCTGGAACCAACCAAATTATATTGGTTTTCTTTTTTAAAAAATGAAAAAAGGTTTGTTTGTCGAGAAAAGAAGATATAATTTTTTCGC